AATTTCAAACAGCTCATTTTTTTTAAAGCTAGAAACAAACAACTAGCAGAAAATATTCAAAAGCTGTTGCCTGATAGAGTGGGGGGCTATTATTACAGGGAAAACCTTAAATTCAGAACCTTGAGGGTTCGAAACACCATGAAGAGAATGTGCATTTCAGTCAGTGGGGTGAAGGTCTGGAATAAACTCCAAAAAGACCAACATGTCAGGCTAACCCCAATATCACAAATACTCCGTCAGCGAGTTCCTTGGAGATCGTAGAGGGCATGCGCGAGATGATTCAGTTCAAAGCAGAAAAAAACATGCGGAAATGATCCAGGGCTTCCGCGGATCATTAACAATAATTACAATTCATTAATTTTTTGGGATTTCTTCATTAATGTTTATGGGATTTCGGGGTAACAATCAAAATATACCGAACCAAACCGAAAACCATGACCACGAAACCATGAACTGAACCGAACTGTGGATTTTGTGAACCGTTCCACCCCTAATATATATATATATATATATATATATATATATATATATATATATATATTTATATAAATGTATTTGTATATATATGCTGGAGATAGGCACCACCCCTCACAACCCCAGCAGGGATAAAGCGTGAGAGGAAAAACATGGATGTTATCTGACCACTGAATATGATTAGCTCTTACCCCACTGCTACTGAGATTCATGTCAGCCATGAAGTTATAAACTCTTGCGCTGCCCTGTACCACTCCCTTATTCATGTCAGTCGTGACCACAATCCTGCAAGAAACAAAGAAATGAGTAGAAAGAGTGAATCATGGAGTTCATGTGTTGGTGCAGCTGTGTTAGTATGGATCTACCTATCATAAGGGCAGAAAGACTGGCCGACGGTGGTGTCAGCCGTATCTGGGATCAACCAGTGGAAGGTCTTGTCTGTGAAGAGCCGGATCTGTTGCCACTCGGAGGTCGTCACGTAACTACAGCCTGCGTTGAAATCCCCCAGCAGCACAATGTTCTGCACAGAGAGGGTGGAGGGTTAACTGTGTTGCAGCTGCCCCTCTCAATACCTTAATGTCTTCACTTAGAGCTTAGAGTTTATTCACATTGGTGTTCCACCGATTGCGGACATCGACCACTACGTCGTAGAGAGAATTGATCTCCTTCACAGCCGAGTCTGGAGAGGTATGCTGGGGGATCAGAGTGAAGCTGCTAGAGGCTGGAAAACAAAGAGGATGTCTGTTAATAGAGAGATCCAGAGAAGTGGATCATAAGCCTGAAAGAGCTGAAGGCTAAATAACAACATATGCTAGGCTTAACAAGACGTTTTTTGTTGGATGACTTCAATGACCTGTTTGGGATGTAATCGATAAAAGTATAAGAAATATAAGAAGGGGTCAGACCTTTTAAGGCTTTATAAACAGAATGTTAAAATCTGAGTAACCAATTAAAGATCAGAAAATCATCAACCAGTAAATATAATTAGGGGTTTATGCATCTATGTTATACATTGATAAAAAAATAAAGAAAGTAAAATTTTTCCATTTTAAAATCTAAAGTGTTTTTGAAGTAGAGAACAACAATCGTTCAGTTTGGTATATAGACAATTTTGTGATTCACATATTGAACCCCAGTCGGACTCGGCAGATGGCCGCTCATACTGAGCCTGGTTCTGCTGGAGGTTTCTTCCTGTTAAAAAAGGAGTTTTTCCTCTCCACTGTCACTATAAGCATGCTTACTGTGAGGGATGCATTCGAGTCAATGAGTCGATGCAATAAACTGGTTTTCCTTAAATAGAATTGAATCAATTTGACTGTATGATCTGGTTGAATTGTAAAGGGCTTTGAAATCACGTGTTGTGAATTGACGCTATATAAATAAACTGAATTGAATTTTATGGCCTAATGAGAGCAGTGGGCTTTATGCTGCCCTGCAAGGCTTTAAAGCTGGGTTTTAATGGAGACAAAGCCGTTCTAAAGCACATATTGAGATGCTAATTTTGAGCCTGGATCCATTTTTATTTTTGATTCTGTTCATGGTGGAGAATCCTGCTTCACAGCAGCAGGTTGAGCCAAACATACTCAAAATGTGCAGGATCATCTTTGAGCACGCCATTTGACGTTTCTGTCACAAGTTCACCGCAGTTCTTCCAGCAGTCCACACTTTCTCTGCTCTCTTTTTCTCATCGTCTTCTCCTTCTTTCCCATCGCCCGGCTTGCCACAGGTTTGCCTGCTGTGTCTAAAAGTAGCAGCAGCAGCAACCCAGACTGACAGCAGCTCATTGTATAATTGGTATCACGTGCAGCCTGGTGCCGGACGCTTTGAAGCGCTTTACCATATTAACAGGAGAAGAGGTGCAAGTGAATTTAGACACTCTCGTCGGACAACATGCGGTAATTTATAAATATTTTTAATCAGGTTGGGTCCGGATTAGCCAGCAGGTGGGTCCAGATCCGGAGCCTGGTCCACTAATCTGTGACCTCTTGTTTATGTCCCTGGCCTCTATTTTCAGGTACTTTTTC